TCCAAGTCCTCTAAACGTTTTTTAAGTTCAGTGATCTGAGTGCTCATCGTAGCAATAGTGTTCATAGTCTGTTGTAAGCGGCGCGATTGTTGTACCTGTATATGCTGCATTCGGTTCATCTGAAATTTATATTCGATTATAATAATAGGCAAAAAAAACATCGTATTTATACCCTTTGGATTCCGTTTTTGTACTCCAACTCAAGCTTCTTATACTTGGCCATGGTAGCTCTTGCTTCTGGGCATCCACTGCGATTTTGTTGGCCTTCGTTTCTAGGGCTCGTGCCAGCTGTTTTACTACCGCAGCACCCTATTGCGGTGTACAAAGAGTCCCAATCTGTGGAATCAGAACTGTCTGAATGTGGCGACTTCATGTTAATCAGTGCAGCCATACGGTTAAGTATAGCTTCACAAGCGGAGTCGTTGCATGTATTGCAAGTCATCTTCATTGGAGCTGCTCGTGTTGGTGGTGTCCACATTTTGGACGTGCTGTTTGATTGTGGCCACATACTGGAGCTACCAGTCTGAACACTGAAGATTATGTTACCTAAACCAGAACTTGCCGGTGTTATACGTTTGTTTTCAATACCGCCAGCATTAGACCTGTTTCCAACAGAATCTACATACGATTTTAAAAGATTTGCGATTTTTTCATCAAAATGTNTAGGAGCATACAGTCTGGTAGTTCTAGTAAATTCATATTGATATTCCCTATTTCCTATAAATGATTGCAAAATAATAAATCCACTATCCCTACCACTCTGGCAATTCACGTCTAGAATGTTTTCTGCGAAATCAAAACGGCCAAACGCAAAATGACGAAATGGCATAGAAAATAAAGAAGAGATCAAAACAAATGAAGACTCCAATAGTGTTGCCACTACGGCATGTATTTTGCCCACCAAAATACTTCAAAACATGCCGCAAGTGAAGTGTTGTTTCTACATCCTCTGAATTAAAAGGCGTTCGTAAAGAATTTGACCGGCCAATGGTCTGCCCCCTGGAATTTGATCCCTCTCAATTTTTTCTAAAAAACGAGTTTTTTTTTTTTAATTTATGCTCCTCTCTAATCCATTATGTTATCCGACTATTATCGGATATGATAGTGCAGTGTAGTAATTTACCATGAACCAACCACTACAGATCACCTAATCAGCCATCGTTGTATTTGTAATCGATTTTCAGAAAAAAGTTTTCGTAGCGTTTTTGACGTTTTTCGGTTTTGTTTACACCGTCTTCTACCTCTTCGTGGTGATTTTTTAGCGATTGAATGTGTTTTCTGCAGCGATTTTAATTATAAATTTTGGTTTATTACATATTTATGATATAAAATGAAGTGCTGCGTGATTGGAACAAGTTTTTGCGTATGTTGGGTTTGCCAAAAGGCGTTAATTTGCGTGAAAAGTGGGTGCACGTTCGTGGCCAGAACGTTGGCATTGAATAATCGACCCGTAGTAATGATATGCGATTGTAAAACACTTTCAAAAATGAAAACCATATTTTATGAACTTTTTTTGCTAATTGTCATCAAGTTTCACTTTGTATATTTTATAATAAATACCATTTTAATCGCACCCAATCACCGCGCCTTTTTCGTTTTCTTTGTTTTCATTCTTAGGCAGATGTCAAAAACGCTCAGAAATATAGGCCCCTATTATGAGTTGCATTCGATTTTCGACTGTGGTCGAAAGTGCTGAGCGAACGAATTTTCATTTGGTAATATGGCGCTCATTCGATGAAGAATAGCGCTATTGTGAATTTCGCTCGTTTAGGTTGTTCACAATAGTATATTTTTCACCGCTGAGAAGCTTTGTTTACAAATCGAGCAAACTAAATAGTATGCTTATACATATATATTTATGTAAATTTGTTCTAATTAAAATGAAATAAAAAAGAAAGCAAGTTTATAAAAACGTAGTAAAATGATTACAACGAGTTCTGGTTCAACGATTCGTCAGAGGATGAGAGCTTAGTAAACTGGCCAGGAGTAGCAAATGTTTAAGCGAGTTTAAGGTTATTAGTCTTTCGAATATATTTTGAGATAAAATATATTTAAGAAATTTGTCTACAGATTCATTAAAAAGTTCCGACCATCTAAAGAGGCGTTTGTGAGCCAAATCTATTTAAAATATTTTAAAACTATCAACAGCGCTACGATTTTGTTCTCAGAGATCGTGCCAACAGAGTATTGGGATTTTCTTTCACAAGTAAAACCAGCCTTTCGAGCTTGTGTTTAGTATTCACGATGTTAGAACTGCATGAAATTAATAAATTTTTTTTTTAAGTTAGTGTCTAGCCGCCAAAAAGTAAGAAAACCTATACAAAATCATACATTTCTCACAATTTTCTAACACTTCGCTACACCATCGAAAGCAAAATTCTGTTCGACAGAAAATTCGATACTCAACGAAAATTTCGACACGCTTGCATAGCTCATAATACGAATTTCACTTTCGATCTTCGATAGCCAGCGAAGATCGAAAATCGAATGCAGCTCATAATAAGGGCCATACTTTTTTCTTGCTTCTTTGATTAGGTGATCTTGTATTTTTGGTTTATGTGGTCTACACGTGCGGGATCTCATATGCGTCGTCACGCCGGCAACATTATGAACACAGCCAAAAATTACATCCAAGGCAAATTTATACAAGGTGGTGTTGATGGCGTATTTAGATTTTCGCGCGGTACTGCCTAATGTCAAAATGATGTGTTTGTTGTAAAATGAATTCGCCTTTTTTACAACAAACACATCATTTTGGCAAGTACCGCGGCGAAAATCTAAATTCGCCATCAACACCACCTTGTATAAATTCGCCTTGCCTCCTTTGTACAAATTCGCCTTGGTGACATCTGAGCAAAAAGTGACGTTTTGACGTTTACCTGTGTGCGCTGTCCACATTTAATTTTTGTAAAATTTTTTATTTATGCAGAAAATAATTAAGTTCTCTTCTTAAAATGGTGTTTGCGAAAAACTGGGAAGATTTTGAAATTGCCGCCGAGTCCATGTACATGGCTAATCCGCAGAACTGCCGATACACAATGAAATACGTCCATGCGAAAGGACACATCCTCCTGAAAATGACTGACAACGTCAAAGTTTGTACATATATAGGCCTGTTCCAGGTACCTCAGGATTTTTAGGAAAAGCTGTTTTCGTCTTTAATAAACCTTATGGAATGTGACGTAAGGGAACAGTTTCTTGTAAAAACCTGCAAATCGTGAAGTACCTAGAACACGGCAAATATGTATGTAGTATATCCAATACATGTAATTTCCCATTTTACTTGCAGTGCATTCAATATAAAGCAGAAAACATGCCCGATTTGAAGAAAATCGAAAAGTTAACTGGCAATTTAATGGGACATATGGCATCCAAGGAGTAACAAACTCAATTATATTTTTCACTGGGGATCAAGTGGGCACAGAGTATTTTAAGTTTAAATAGCATTGCTTTAGGGCAAGTTTTTCAGTGTCAGCTTAAACTTGGATCATGTAAGCTGCATTTTTTAATGAGCTGGCTCATATTTGATTGGCTAATTAGTTTAAACTAGCACAACCGTGCACTGAAAAACTGACCCTTAATGTTAGCTTTGTAACCACTTTACGAGTGGAGTTTTAAAGGTCGAGACCATCTTATGTATAAACATATATCGAAAACTTCCGATTCGAAAACATTTCCATGAAATGCTTTTAATTTATTGTTAATTGTAGATATGATGTAATAAAATCGTTCTTTTTGTATTAAAGCATAAAATGCATCTAATGATCACGACTATGCAGGCTCGTTTCGATTTCTATGATGGGACTGTTTTGAAACTATTGCCAAAAAACTCTGCCTTTAATAGTTGCGTTCCAGATGCTTCACGATTTGCAGGTTTTTACAGGAAGCCGTTCCAGGTGACCACCTTCCATAAGGTTTATTAATGGAGAAAACAGCTTTTCCTGCAAATCCTGTAAAACCTGCAATTGGTGAAGCATCTGGAAAGCAATTTTTAGAATTTCAAATCACATAAATATGATTTAATACAAAGCCAAAGCTCTGATTTTAAGTTCGACTAATAAAATACAGTGAAATAGTTGTTGCCAATTTTTTTATATCTACAGCTGCTCTGAATTACTTTAACCTTATCGTTCCCACAACAGTTGGTTCTACGTAACCGGAACGACCCACATTCATATCTGGCCAAGGACAGTGACTTCAGCATCATTCATCAAAAACTGTTTAGGGAATTTTAATGCGTTACAACAACTACTTTAATTTTATAATTTAACTTAGCTTTTTTACTCATTAACCTTTGTGTCAATACGTCATAGCCGGGTATGTTTTGTGGTTTTCAAAAGCACATATACATTTTTCCTATTACTTTCAAGAACTCAACCTCCAGATATCTGAATGCATACTAAATAACTACAAATTGCAACAAAAAACTTTATTTGTTGCCATTGACAAAAATGCAACCTCCGACCATCTAGGTCCCCTATGGTTTCCTAGGGACCCCTTAGAAAAATTGCCAAAAATCACAATTTTCATTTGCGTTTATTCGCTTGAAAAATGTTAAATATTCATTTGCACAATACATTTTTATATATGTATACATTTTCATATACAAGACATTTTTATAAAACACCCAGTAACCAAAACAAACATCACTGGGGCGGCAGCCCCAGCTTTTCCACACAGAAAGGGAATTATAGTTACCTCATCCTTTCCCAAGGTTACATCACTGGGGCCGAAGGCCGCCTACGCAGAAAGGAATTCTACGCAAAAATACTGTGGGCGCAAGTAAAAATTGCGATTTTTGGCCATTTTTCTAAGGGGTCCGTAGGGAACCATAGGGGGTCAGGGGTTGCATTTTTGTCAATGGCGGTTCATGCCTTCTCCAAAAAAGGTCGGTTGGAGGTGCCACGCCCACTCCCCTCACGCCCACCGCACTTTTAACGAACGGCCATAATGGAAATTTTCCCCGTGATTTTTAAATTGCCAACCTATACACAACACGTACATATATACCCGGGTATATACATGGTTGGTTGGTTGGTTGTAGTGCCTCAAAGTAACTTACTATGATACAATTAGCGCGTTTTGCGGCAATAACACCATCTTGATTCCCTGATGAATTTGTCGATATCATCTATAGTAGATCTTGATATATCTGCTAATTTTGTTTGTTCTTTATGTCAGGGACCCGGACTTGTATAACTTTTATAATAAAAGGCGTTAGAAAAGTTATTTTTGAACTAGCAAATGCCTGGCTTGCTTCGCGATGCCTAATAAGAACTTTTACGTTGACCAATACAAAAATAGTGTTGCTATGCAAAACGGTTTGTAATGTAAAAATTATTAGTTTAGGTTGAAAGGACTGAAGAGCAGAACCTTGCTTACTCATAGGCCAAGTATAATAGCACTGAGATAACATTTAGGTTAATTACTAACCTCCTTCGATGCTATGAGCACTTATTTCCTCCTGAGATATCTGCAAGTATTGCAAGGTTTTTCGCAGCACATCTGCATCTAATCTGCTCAAGTATGAGTTCAACCTCAGCCTCACCATTCTGATTACGCAGTTACGAACCGAATCACGTAATTCGCCATACAAAATCTTGAGAGCGAATCACTTCATTCGTAGGTGATTCAGATCCAATCCCCATGCGAATCAAGAACAAATCGTTGTCTTCTCTAATTTTTATCGATAACAGCTGTCAAAACACATAGACCACACACATACCCACCAGCACAAACATTGAAAAAATAGCTAGATAACATAGCAACATGTTTTAAAGCGTTTAAATGAATAATTTTACCTAAATTGTGTGTTTAAAGTATGTGACAATAATATTAGTTAATTTTGGTTTCCGTTGTTTTCTCTGCTTTGTTAACTTTTCTTTCGTTCTCCAGTAAAACAAGATGGCGTAGAACCCGCTCAAAAAATCGACTTTTTCACTCTTTTGTTCTTGCGTGATCTTTTGTCGTTGGTTCATGGCTTGGTTGGATATGAATACGCCTTGGTCTTGCCCGTGGTTAATGAAAATGCAATACTGGTTTCTCCAGCTGTCAAACAAAGAGAAATGTCAGAGAATGTCAAACGCAAAAATGGTAATTGGAAAATTTTCACGGTGGGCCAATTGTTTTATCAGACGGGATCAGCACCATATAGAAATCGAAATTACGGTGCAAAAATGAAAATTGTTCCAAATATGTATAAATATTTCAAGAAGTGAATTCGAGAGCAAAAAAATGTGATAAGCGCAGTTCATAGTGATAGCAATATTGTAATAAATCTAGTCAAATGGAAAGACAATTGCGGGTGAAGGAGGGCGTTTTTTCGCTACTCAAATTCATTCATCATTAGGAAAACGAAAATCGCAAAAAACAAACACGTAAATATATTAAGTGCAAAGAATAATGAAAAAATATAACTATCCTTTTGTAATAATAGCACTATAAAGGTTTTAAGTTGAACTACTGTGAAGTTTGAAAAATCGACGTTGTGTGGTGTGGCCGAAGGCTAGTTGTGGGAAAGGGCGACGTCATAACAGTAGTAGACCAAAGTTTGGAATAGCCTTTTTCGTCACGTTTCTTGGCCCATACATTTTTACTACCACGATTTTATATGTTTGGGCACGTCATCGTATAGCCAGTATGTAGTTTACCTTCGATTAAATCAAGTATGCAAAAGCAAGAAGACAGTACTGCAAGAATTTAAAAAATAATAATTAAATTAAACGACAAATAATCGACAGTCACAATGGACGACGACACAATGCTCAACAACCATGGTCCTCAGCCTGGAGCTGAGACTGTTTATGGCACCGAGGACAACAATATGGTCATGTCAGAGAAGGTGCGTAATGATAATGCTAACTATTATTTAAAACAAAATATATACCTTTCTATCACCAATGCCACGTTGCGGAAAGTTCTGCAATGATAGATATAACCACTGCTCGTTAGTTTGTATGCACGTACATATGTATATACATAAAGATAAATATATATGTACATATCTACACATCAAAACCATAGCATGCTAAGTCAGCTTAGACTTAGTCAGACTTAGCCTATTATGGTTTGGAGTCGTCGATATATACTTTGCAAATACACAGTACATATCCCTATATACCAATATGTAGCAAATGTATTCTATCATTCTTGCCTATACACATGCATATCTATGCATTCAAAAACTTATGTACATACATATGTATATGATAAAAGTAAGCTTTCGAACATAATATGTACCAGGGATGTTGCGAATATTTGGTGGCGTTCCATAACTCACACGAAGTTGCAAGATTTTACCAGAAAGCGTTCCCGTACTGGAGTCTCTGGCTTCCTTTACCTTTTGACAGTTTTACAGGTTTTAACCCAGAAAAGTTGGAGAACGCAACTATAATATATGTATATGTATACGGTGGAAAATTCAAAATTTTAAATGCACTTATTTCCCAACGTAACCGATTTTTACGAAATTAGTATAATTTTAACGTCATAATCGAGTAATTTGTTTATTAAATATAAAACAATATTTTAATTAACAACTTCCCCTCAGTAGTACCCATAATAGTCTGTATAATTGTATACAAATATGATAAATATTATAGTTTATATCCTCTAAAGTTATTTCTTTTGTAAAATCCATAGCTGTGCATATGATAAAGATTATCCAATGTTCCCCTAGTTTAACAAATAAAATTACGAAAATCCTGTTCTAAATAATAAATGGTCGATCTTTTACCATTATGTTTTGCTGTGACTGTAATCATTATGAGTAAAATAATTTAATTCCACATTTCATCATTATTTTATGATTTTTGTTTTTTCCGCTTAAAAAATAATAACTATAATTATAATTATAATTATAATGTTCATTATCGAGTTTTATTTTTTCGCTCAACGAAAATATTTGATTTTTATATTTATATAAAAATAATGATTATAAAATTTAAAAGGCTATACAGACCCAACACTGAAATTTTTACCTGAAAATTTTGGGACTTATTCCTTTACTAGGATGTCGCTACCTCTTTAAGGGATACACGGGCAATTAAGCCTTTGAGTTTTTTGAGTCATCATTATTCTTAAGTGAAAGAATAAAAATTAATAATGTGGAACCCTCTACTTGTTTTACAATGTTCAATCTTAGAACACTATTGTAAAAGTTTTTAATTTGTCAATTCTTGAAAAACTTTCATTTACATTTTTTCCTATTTTGAAACGCAATGAAATTATTTTTTCAAATATAAGTTTTTTTACTAATTACTTAGCAAATAACAATAATAATTATTATCTTTGAGAGAAAAAATAAAAACCATAAAATAACCATTATGTACATTTGATCGAAAAAATAAAACTCGAATAATTATAATTTTATTTAAGCGAAAAAAAACTCAAATATTAATTATTATCTTTTATCTTAAACGGGTAAACTTGAAATTACAGTAGGACGTACGAACGCAAATACTTTAGAATAGTTAAAACAGTTTTGCGACGGATACAACTTTTTGATTTTTGGTTAAAATTTAATAAGCAATAATTATTTTTCCTCCCCGTCTTTTGCGTTGTTTTGATAACATAATTCTTTGAATACATACTTTTTAAAAATATTACTCAAAAATAGTATTCAAAAGGGAGTAAAAATGGTCCTAAAATTTTCCCCTTTTTTTACTACATTTTTATGCATTGCCGAAATGGGACTACCAAAAAAAGTGAGGTTATGTAACTGACATCACCTTGTTTATTCCACCATGAGTCTGTCTAACCAGGGTGCGGACAGTACCCGGCTTTTAGCTTCAGACGCTAAACGGTTAAGTAGTCTAACAAGCAACATTGATGGGCTATCAACAAGTACTGCTAAAAGTCTTATAAGCAACCTAGAAATAATTTTAGATTCCTCCAGCGAAAGCTCGGATATAGAATCTGGAGATAAATGTAAAATTAAAGCTCAATTAAAGGCCTATCTTAACACGTTCGCTATCAAGCGTATTTAAGTAGTGCGTCATCACAGACCAGGTAGAATTTTATTTGTTTTTGTCTAGTGTTGTGGGTTTTGGTTGTCATTGGGTATCTCAGAAACTCAAATTCATGATAAAAGTAATTGGTTTAAGCCTGACACATATTTGTGACGCTGGCCTATAGATATATTTTTCGGTATAGACAAGGGTCACATTTATGTGATAGGCTAAACTTCAGGGTTTTATCTAATGCTGGATTTCCACTTGGCGTTAAATGGCAAAAATTACAGATGACAAAGCCGAGCATTAAAAAATAATCGTGTCATTACATTAAGAAAAAAAAAGTCATTAAGTAAGTTCATTTCCACATCGCATTTTTTTTAATGTCATGAATTTTTCGCCATTTCAATGCCTAGTGGAAATTCGGCATAATTCAGTTTTATTCAAAAATACAAAGCTTACAAAAAATGGCTCAATACTTGGCCTT